TTAATGCATCTTTATGAGGAGATGCTGATTGGCTCATTGCAACGTTTTGCTGAGCATGCACAATAGCCTCCCTATGCTTTCCGTGCAGCGCTGGAATAAAGGTAGGTTTTAAGCTATTCAAGGGGGCAAAGGGGGCTAGTAACCTAAATAGTGTTTTGACACTATAGGGTCAAGAATACACATGTACACAAGGAACATTCCAGTTAAATTATATTCTTTTTTTTAAAGGAATGTAACTTTAATCTTTCTCATTCTTACTGTAACCCAGAAAAGTGAGCATCACAGGCCTAGAACTGAGGGGATTTTTATTATAAATACTTTCATTTGGCACAAGAAAGCAATGTCTTTATTGTTGGTGAATATGTTTTGTTTGTAATAAAATATGTCAGTAAATAAATTGTGTATCAGTTCAGAAAATGCTATAATTTTAAGAATATTAATTCCAAATTAAAATTGCTTTTGTTTGTCGAACTGAATCTATACCTTTAATAGCTGATGGTCTTTAAATAAAAGTTCATAATATTTTATTGTCTTTTGTTTCATTTCCATGTTGGGTTTGAAGAGACACTTGTCAGTCGAGGAATTCCATAGTGTCTTTGGGATGACAATAGAAGAATTTGATCGATTGGCACTTTGGAAACGGAATGATATGAAGAAGAAAGCATTGCTCTTCTAGCCTTGCTCCGATGGGGAGACCAGTTTTTGCACCCAGGTACTGTGGATTACCATCCAAGCTGTCTGTGCACCACTGGAACTGTAAACCACAGCAGCTGGAGTAGCAGCGGTTGTCTCTCAATACTCAAGCAAACACATCGACATCCCCTCCCAGACTGACATCTATTCCTGCTATTGGCTTTTACCATTCTTATTATTCTGGAAACAAATGCGCAGACAATTCTGAAGCAGCCAGATGATGCAGAAACAATGGTAACCAATGGCTGGAAACATTTTTTTTTCATTATTTTATTTGCCGTACCTACTCCGTGTAATGAACCCAGAAATACAATACTCTAGACAGCTGTCAATGTGTACCATGGAAATCTCGCCAACAGTATGCGTAATCAATAAATCTGTTGCTGTAAAAGTCCCTTGCATAATCAGGGAGTATACTCACTATTTTCCATATAGAAGGAAGGACAAAGAACAGTATGTAACTCATATGTTGCATCACTGTTATGTGGTTTAGATGTGAAATTTAGACTAACATCATAATGTTTTATTTTCTATAAAATGAGGCAATATTCACAGCACCTTTCACAACGTTACTAATGTTTAAGGAATAGCTATCAATATACAGTATATATATATTTTATTGGCATAACAATGGGCTTCATTTAAAGGTCAAACATCAGATGCTAACACTGTCAATTAATCCATGTGCAGTTTTGGAACTTTACAAATAAGACGCTAGAACTATACAAATACGTGCACTTATATGTTCAGCTTGTGCATTTCATTACCTAAGATTTATTTATGGTTTAATTACTGGAATTGTTTTCCGTTAGAAATTATGGGACTGGAATATCTGTTCAATGGAAAATTGAATTATGGTACATTTTAATAGTGTTTTTTTTTCCAGCCATTTAACCCCTTAAGGACACAGATTCTCTTTTAATTCCGAAGTTGTGCCCTTAAGGGGTCAACCACTCAGTGTTCCTACAAGCTTTTTACATAATACAAATATGAATTTTGAATGAGAAATATGTTTTCCTTAAAATAATATGCAGGTATACATTATTTAACTGAACAATTCTCTCTTTCAATTATCAAAACAAGATTGCTAAATGAAATGATTTAAGATAAATGATGAGCCTAACGTATTAATTGTTGTTAAAATATCTTCAGTCTTAATTGGCAATTACTATGTCTGAAGTGTTTTAGCATTATTGTCGAGCAGTATTAATCCCCAAATCTGTCCATTATATTAGAGCAGCGTGACACCCCTGCCATAGGAATGCACATAACATTATTTGCATGTATGGTACCCGTTTCAACAAAAAATGATCATTACATGTGTGACTCTTCCAATTCATTACCTTAGTCCAGATAGTCTGCCGTTGAAGCATTGTTTATACTATCAGGTCCTAGATATGCTAGGAAAGTATGGTCGAACATTAAAACATTGCTGAAGTAGGTGTAATGCCCTTGGCACCGCCTTGGCCCTGCCCAATGTAAGTAGTGAAACTGTTCTAGAATGGTTTGGCTTCTTACTTGGGGTCAGCACCCGGTGGACCCCAAATAAAGTCATACATTCACTAAATATTTTGATTACTTACGTTACGGTGCCCCAGGATATTGCTGGCACTATAACATTTACAGCATACTGTAACGGCTATGGCGCTTGAAGTGTTTGTCTAAGACAGTATTTTCTTTTACCAAAGATCTTTAATCCTTTAATAATTTTATTCATATTTTAATATTTCATGACTCATTAGCGATAGGTTATAGTCTACTGGTTGAAATAGCTTTTCTATGACTAAACTTGATAGTGTCAACATTTTAGGAAGAGAGAACAGTAGTGTGAGTAAGAGATAAGATTAACATGTTTATCTGCTGTCAAAGTGAGAATTAATCCCCTCACTGATGGTTTTTATTGGCAGCAATTTTGGATGGCTAATTTGAGTTATTTTTTAGTCAGCTGGTTATTGTAAGCACCAGAACCACATAAGTGGTTATGGTACAGGTAGGCTGTCTGTGCGGCTTTTCAGCATTGAACACTGTCAGATCTGAAATATTTACCATTTCTTGCCAGTGTGTATCTCTACCTTCGACTCATGTCAATCAACCGGCTGAAAGCTTTGTATCTGGCTAGCCATACAAAGTTTCTCATACAAACATGCCCAATCCGGGGCTTGTTTTGAGCTAAACATAACTGAGCTGTAAACCGGGCAATGGGAAAGCAGACAATAGTTGCCATTAGTTTTACGGAGAAGTTCAATCATCCTAATGGAGATAAATGACTTATCCCACAATATCCTGTGTTTCTTTATGGTATGGGAGAAGGGCATTAAACAGTGCACCAAGGGAAATTTTAGAGATATGTAATTCAATTATTTTTTTTTGCAATCATTTTTAAAGTATTATCTTTATAATACATGAAAAACTGTTGAGTAATTTTATCCTAGAGTTTCCTTTTAATAATTTCCCTAGTTGACATCTATTGGCAAGGCGTTTTTAATATTACATGGACCTTGAACAGCACAGGGGGCCTAAAGGGACACTCCAGGCACCCAGACCACTTCTGCCCATTGGAGTGGTCTGGGTGCCAACTCCCACCACCCTTAACCCTGCAAGTGTAATTATTGCAGTTTTTATAAACTGCAATAATTACCTTGCAGGGTTAAATCCTCCTCTAGCGGCTGTCTATCAGACAGCCACTGGAGGGAGTTACATGTTCTTGGAACACGAAAAGTGTTTTAAACGACACTGGACATGCTCACACTATGCATGAGGACCTCCAGCGTCGCCGGAATCCCCATAGGAAAGCATTGATTTGTCCCTTTAATCCAATATATATAAAATATTTTGATTGTTGTATGAAAATGGTGTACACTTGCACAATTAAATACTAAGCTGATACATTTATATATTATACATTGCATATTTTGTTTTGAACCAATGGAGGTCCCGACTGGAACAAGTGTTGTCAAGTGCAGTGGTCCTCAATCCAGTCCTACAGGTACATCAACAATCCTATTTTTAGGCATTTCCAAATCCTTCACCAGTGGTAATGGACCTGGATTGTTGGTGTCCAATGAGGACTGTGTTGGTAGCCGTAGCGTGGGTTAACCAAACCCAGAAACTACTTCTTCTTTTGTAGAAGTTAATCTCCTTGTTTCTCTCGTGTTACCATGTCTGGACTGGCAGCTTGTTAGAGCTCACCAGACTACTTGAAACCTCCCTAAAACAGGCCATGGAGTATTTGTCCATTTCCCTAATCCTTGATGCCTTTGGCTGCACATGGTGTTCTAATTTGGAATTCAGCCAGCATGTTATCTCCATGAGAATATTAAACCATATGACATGATAGAAACATATCAATAAGAATGTGCTGCAAGCAGGTTCATATTCAGATGTAGTGATGATCTGATGACAGTTCAAATGGATATTTGCCTACAGGAAAAAAATATATATATATATATGTCAGTGATGTTCCATCTAAAATGTTTGTAAAAGATAAATATGTGTTTGTGTGAGAAGTGAAGCTGATTAAAATTTGCCATTGCTGCTAAAGGAGAACTGCCACCTCAACACTTTATTTTAGTATGATGATCCTTTCGTTATATTATATTTTATAACCACAGAAGACCTTGGTGATTATTTTTCTGTCAGCTAAGGATAGGATGATAAGGCTATAGTGAGGACATGGTCAACAAGAAGGACAATTGAAGGAGTGGCAAAATGTTACCTAAACCACCGAATCTCGATTTCGGCACTAATATACAAAAGCCAGGGGTAGAATTTAGTACAATGTATGTGGATCCATCTTGTCATCTGTCAGTGGTACAGGATGAAGAGGAATTTCTTGGCACCTACCCTGTAATTCAAACATTATTTGCATTTCATCAATGTATGTATCAATCTATAGATACATCTAGCTGGATTATTATTATTATGATATTTATAGAGCACCGTCAAATTCCACAGCGCTTTACAATGGGTGGACGAACAGACATGTAGTTGTAACCAGACAAGTTGGACACACAGGAACAGAGGGGTTGAGGGCCCTGCTCAATGAGCTTACATCAGTGGCGTACATACCAGGGTCGCAGGGGTCGCGGCTGCGACCGGGCCCGGCCCACCAGGGGGCCCGGCCGCCCCTGCGACCCGGTATGTATGCCCAGGGCCAGCCTCTTCCCCTTGGGGGGCCCAGGAGCCGACCACCCCAGGGCCCCCCTGAGGCTAGCCCTGCTGACCCCGGGTGGCCGGTCAGGCAGGCGGGCGCCCGAGGGAGCACTCAGTGCTTCCTCTTCAGATGACGTCATCTTCCGGCGCCGGCATCCCTACGCGGCGCGCGAGGGAGCTGAAGAGGAAGCAGTGAGTGCTCCCTCGCGCGCCCGCCTGCCCGACCAGCCACCCGCCCAGGAGCCCAGCAGAGCCCAGCAGCACCACTGGACCCCAGGGAATCCCCCCAGCACTCCAAAAGGTAAGGAGGCTGGGGGGATTACATTTAAAAAAAAAATCATGTGTTAGTGTGAGTGTTAGAGTGAGTGTTAGTGTGTGTGAGTGTTAGTGTGTGTGAGTGTTAGAGTGAGTGTTAGTGTGTGTGTTAGAGTGAGTGTTAGAGTGAGTGAGTGTTAGAGTGAATGTTAGAGTGTGTGAGTGTTAGAGTGAGTGTTAGTGTGAGTGAGTGTTAGTGTGTGTGTGTTAGAGTGAGTGTTAGTGTGTGTGAGTGTTAGTGTGTGTGTCTGCTAGTGAGTGTCAGTGAGTGTGTTACTGTGTGTGTCTTACTGAGTGTGTGTGTGTTAGTGAGTCTGTTTGATGTCTGTTAGTGAGTGTGTGTTTGTCAATGAGAGTGCATGTTTTGTAAGTGAGTGTGTATGTATGTCTGTCGCTGACTGTGTCTCTGTCAGTAAATGTGTGTGTCTGTTAGCTAGTGTGTATGCGTCTGTAAGTGTGTGTGTGTGTCTTCAGCACTTACCTTTCTCCAGCGCCGGACTCCCTTGGCACTGAGGATCCCTCAGCCTCTCAGCTCCGAATGCGACCGCGCACGCATTCAAACCGCCCATAGGAAAGCATTACTCAATGCTTTCCTATGGACGTTCAGTGTGCTCCTCTAGCGGCTGTCAGTGAGACAGCCACTAGAGGCTGGATTAACCCTCAGTGAAACATAGCAGTTTCTCTGAAACTGCTATGTTTTCAGCTGCAGGGTTAAAACTAGAGGGACCTGACACCCAGACAACTTTTACCCCTCTGGAAAGGGGTAAAACTTACCTTTTTCCAGCGCTGGGCGGAGAGCTCTCCTCCTCCAATCCTCCTCTTCTCCTCCCCGTCGGCTGTATGCGCACGCGCGGCAAGAGCTGCGCGCGCATTCAGCCTGTCACATAGGAAAGCATTCATAATGCTTTCCTATGGACGCTGGCGTGCTCTCACTGTGAAAATCACAATGAGAAGCACGCAAGCGCCTCTAGCGGCTGTCAATGGGACAGCCACTAGAGGAAATAGGGGAAGGCTTAACCCATTCATAAACATAGCAGTTTCTCTGAAACTGCTTTGTTTATGAAAAAATGGGTTAACCCTAGCTGGACCTGGCACCCAGACCACTTCATTAAGCTGAAGTGGTCTGGGTGCCTAGAGTGGTCCTTTAAGTGTGTGCATCTGCATGCACTGGTGTACATACCGCAGTCGCAGGGGTCGCAGCCCTGTAACCCCTGCGACCAGGTGCCCACCCCCATGTGTTGCGGCCCGGCCCGTGCGCGGGGGGGGGGCCTACGGATCAATTTTCGCACCGGGGCCCCATGGGTCATGTGTACGCCACTGGCTTACATGCTAGAGGGAGTGGGGTAAAATGACACAAAAAGGTAAGGATAGTACTAGACTAGTGACAGTTGCAGAAGAGGAATCAGTCAGGAGCTATTAACAGTTTAATTGATACACTTTTATGAAGAAGTGGGTTTTTAACAATTTTTTGAAGGAGTGGAGACTGGGTGAGCATCTAATGGAGGAGGGAAGCGAGTTCCACAGGAACGGTGCAGCCCTCGAGAAATCTTAAAGGCGAGCATCAGAGGTGGGAGTACGGACAGAAGATAGACGTAAGTCTAAAGCAGATCGTAAGGGCCTAGACGGGACATACTTGTGGATAAGGGAGGATAGACAGGTGGGGGCTTCATTATGTAGAGATTTGAATGCAAGAACCAAAATTTTAAATTGAGCTCTACATTTTATAGGAAGCCAATGTAGGGACTGACAGAAGGGTGAGGCATGGGAGGTGCGGGCGGACATGAAGATGAGCCTCGCCGCCGCATTCATTATGGACTGTAACGGCACAAGTTGGGAGCACGTAAGACCACTGAGAAGCGGATTACAGTAGTCAAGGCAGGAAAGGACAGTGGAATGGACCAACACCTTAGTCGCATCTAGCGTTAAGTAGGGGCGGATGCGCGCAATGTTTTTGAGATGGAAATGACAGGATTTGGCGATAGATTGAACATGAAGCTTGAAGGAGAGGTCGGAGTCAAAGAGAACACCTAGGCAGCGAGCCTGCATGGTGGAGCTGATGGTAGCACCGTTGACTTGGCGGGAGACAGACACAGGAGTAACAACACTTGAGGGAGGAAAGACCAGAATTTCAGTTTTGGTCAAGTTTAGTTTAAGAAAGTGGGCAGCCATGCAGTTAGAAACAGCAGAGAGGCAGTCAGAGACACTAGTCAAGAGGGACTGGGAGAGATCAGGAGAGGACAGGTAGATTTGCGTGTCATCTGCATAGAAATTATATTGGAAGCCAAAGGAGCTAATGAGTTTACCAAGGGAGGCAGTATAGATGGAGAACAGTAGGGGACCAAGGACTGAACCTTGGGGACACCAACAGAGAGGAGTTGGGGAGAAGAAGCAGAGCCAGAGAAAGAAACACTGAAAGAGCGCTGGGAGAGGTAGGAGGAGCACCAGGAGAGAGCAATATCTTGTAGACCGATATTGCGGAGGATGAGAAGAAGCTGTTGATGATCAACAGTGTCAAAAGCCGTAGACAGGTCAAGGAGAATTAGGATAGAGTAGTGACCACGAGATTTTTCAGCGAGTAGATCATTGGATACTTTGGTCAGTGCCGTTTCCACAGAGTGCTTAACTGCTGTGTCGCCAACAATGTTACATCTCAGCAGATTTTAAGAGCATGATATTGACTTTGTTTACCCATATGCCCTGCACTGCACTGTCCACAGATCCCCGTCCAATAATGTGATTTGTGAGATGCAGTGGAAAGAATGAACGCATGACGTCATTTAATGAGCACAGATGAAAATTCAAAAGAAATCTTTCAAAGCATGTCTTGAATTTGTGCTAGAAGAATACAAGCTGTTCTGGAGGCAAAAGAAAAGCCTAACTGATACTAGACAGGTGCTCCTAATAAAGTGAGCGCTATTTACTATTTTTACTTAGTGATGAGCGTCATTTTTAAGTATGAATCATCTTCCAGGGAATTACTCTTGATCTAAGGATTTCCTTTGGTACCATACCTTTGGTGCCTAATGTGTTATCAATAAAAATAAAAATGCAGATTGAAGTATCTACATGGAATCTCAGGCATCATCAAAGAAATCTGGTTGCCACCTAACCTCCATCTGTTTGACTCCACTTGTTGGCCAAATCAGCAACTGTAACCGTTCCTCAACCTTGCTACTCAATGGAACACTGAAAGAAAACACAGAGATGTCTCCGAGAACATATTCAAAATACAGTGAAAAGAATGTATATTGGATTGTGTGATGAATAGATTAAGGCTTGTGGCTCATATTGCATTTATCTACCAGCTGTTAAATTATAAAAAGAAAAAAAATGGAACTAAAAATAGAAAAAAAGACTTTGAATGTCTACATGTGGAGTTAGGAATACATAAAAAAATATGTATTTTCTATTGTTTGAAGTTGACCATATATGTATGATCTTTTTTTCATCCTTCTTGCTGACATGGTCTCTCAAGATCTTCTTTTAGACAATGTCCCATGCCATCAGTTCCAATAGATTTGTTCTTTATTGCTGAACCAGCAATCATAGAGAATTAATGGGGATTTTGAACCTGTGAGTTTATTTAAATAAAAACGTTGATATTGGAATGTTTGCAGCATGATTATTGCGTTGTTTATATAGACAGGAAACATTAGACATCATTCTTCCTCCTCACTAAATGGGTTCAGCAAAAAGGGCATGAATATGTCTAGCGGGGAAGCAAATCATGATTGACTTCACTGTTTACTGAGGGGAAAAAGGGTTTACTGCCCCTTTAAGTGCCAAAAGGATGTATGTATCATACATATACACACACATTGAGCAGCCACAATGTACCCCTCATGCTGCCAAGACAGCTCTGATGTGTTGAAGCATGGACTCCACAAGACTTTTGAATGTGTCCTGAGATATCCGGCACCAAGACATGAGCAGCAGATCTTTTAAATCCTGTTGTGGGGCCTTCATGGATTGGATCTGTTGTTCCAGCACATGCCACAGATGCTCAATTGGATTGACACCTGGGGAATTTGGCGGCCATAGGAACACATTGAAATATTTTCCATGTTCCTCAAACCATTCCTGAACATTTTGTGCAGTGTGGCAGAGTACATTATCCTGCTGAAAAAGGCCACTGCCATCAAGGAAGAACATTGTCATGAATGGGTGTATGTGGTCTGCAACAATCTCTAGGTGTGTGGCACATGTGAAAATAACATCCACATGAATGCCATGACCCAAGATTTCCCAGCAGAACATTGCCCATAACACTGACTGCGCCGGCCTACCTTCTTCCCATAATGCATCCTGCTGCCATCTCTTCCCCAGGTGAAAGATGCACACGCAACTGACTATCTACCTAATCTAAAAGAAAAAAGTGCTAACCCAGCCACTCTAAGGACCAGTACGCATTCATACTTTATCTTTAAACTAGGTTTGTGTGTTAGGGTCAGATCAGTCTTGATACTTCCATGGTCTAGTTCTCATGCTCATATCCCCATTGACAGCACTATCAGTGGTGGATAGGGTCATCATGGTACTCTGACCAGTCTAGGGGTAACGCAGCCCCCTACACAGCAAACTGGGATGCACTGTCTGTTCTGATACCTTTCTATCATAGCCAGTGCCAAGCTTTTCAGCAATTTGAGCTACACCAACTCTTCTATATGATCATACCAGACGGGCTAACCTTAGCTCCCAACGTGCCTCAATAGGACTTGAGTGCCCATGACCCTGATGCTGGTTCACCGGTTGGAAAACCCCACAAGACTTGCCATTTTGGAGATTCTCTGACCCTGTAATCTAGCCACTATTTTGCCCTAGTCACTCAGAGCTTTTCGCTTGCCTGTTTTTCCTGCTTCGAACACATGAAATTCAAGAACTGACTGTTCACTTGCTGCCTAATATATCCCACCCCTTGACAGGTGCCATTGTAACAATAAAATCAATGTTGTTCTCTTCATCTGTCAGTTGTTTTATTGCTGTGGCTGATCAGTGTATACATAATATTAATTGTATAGTATATCTTGACCCTTCATTTCTGACATGGGCATAAAAAATAATGGTCGCACAATGGAATACCTGATTTTTAAAAGGAATATTTATTCAAGGATGAAATTGATCTGCACAACAATCTCATCTAGATGATTTTTTACTTTGAAACATCCTGGATTAATTTTTTTAATAATAATTTGTCATCATTACAATTGACATTTTTATGCTGACTTTCTCTGATTATTATCTTGTTTTTGTTAATCTCATGCAGATTTTTACAATATGCAGTAGTTATTAGTTCACTTTGGGAGATTCACAAGCATGGCTGAGTGGTTTAATAAGAAGCCGGTGTTTTTCAGAAGCTGCTGTGTATCATTGAAATTGCACCACATAACAATGTAATGTTGAGAGCCATTGGATCAGCCATATACTTAAAGGTCCATTATAGGCACCCAGACCACTTCAGCTTAATGAAGTGGTCTGGGTGCCTGGTCCAGCTAGGTTTAACCCTTTTTTCTATAAACATAGCAGTTTCAGAGAAACTGCTATGTTTATATTAGGGTTCATCCAGCCTCTAGTGGCTGTCTCATTGACAGCCGCTAGAGGCGCTTGCGTGCTTCTCACTGTGAAAATCACAGTGAGAAGACGCCAGCATCCACAGGAAAGCATTGTGAATGCTTTCCTATGAGACTGGCTGAATGCGCGCGTGGAGGAGGAGAGCTCTCCGCCCGGCGCTGGAGAAAGAGGTAAGTTTAACCCCTTCCACCCCCTAGAGCCCTGCAGGAGAGGGACCCTGAGGGTGAGGGCACCCTCAGGGCACTATAGTGCCAGAAAAACGAGTATGTTTTCCTGGCACCATAGTGGTCCTTTAATGGTTTTAGTTGAAAGCTTGCTCAGAACATAACATAGCTTATACCATAAATTTTTAATATGCAAGGCGTTTAAACCAACTTGTACGGTGCTATATCCCATGCCTCCCAACCAACCTGATTTCGGCAGGACAGTCCCAAATTTTGGGTTTGTCCAACTGTCCCTCCTGACCTGCCAGTAATGTGGGCGGACATGCCCTTTCCAAATGGGTGTGTGCCTTTTAATGCAGGCACCTCCCCTTTGGGGTGGAACCACTGATACAATTGCATAACTGGTCCTCCCCCTTTACCCATCTCCCACCAATTCCAGTACTGCCAATGTCATGACCCAGCTACAGTTGGTACACTATCAGGAATGAAGAAGAAAAGCAACATTAAGCAACATGACACACTTTTGACATAATGATTGCTTGCCAATAAGAATACAGGTTCACAGTGGTGTAGTTTGCAAGAAAGGGGATTATAGTACGCTGTAATTTGATGTTATTTTCTTATATTATAAACTGATGCTGGTTTCGGTCATTCTGAGCGTCATGAAAATTAGTGTAGAATACTGCTGTATCAGCAAAATGGATGGAGGCATGGGGGGAGACTAACATTGCAACATCTCTGCCCTGTGGGTAATTGGACAAGAGCCTATGAGAGGTTTCCCATCTGGATCTGATTAATCTGTTATCTAAGAATGTGTGTTCGAAGAATGACAAAGTATGTTATTGTAGGGTAGAATTGGAAAACAATGTGGCTGGGCAAGACAAGTAAACACAACAGCAATAACAACTGGTCTCTCTTCATACGTACAAGTATTTACTGCTAATCCTGCAGAGTAATTAATGTTCCTCCCTGTTAACATTGTAAACTATTTAAGAAACCCAGCCAAACTAAACAAACAAAACTAAGTGAAATGGACATATGAGCAAATAAATCGCATAGACATTAGGCCTGTCATGATTTAAACATGATGATAACAATTATTACAAAAAAAAAAAGCAAGTCTAGTTTCTTGGTTGACTTAAATAATCTGAATCAGCAGTTTGTTCCTTTTATCAATAGAATCAATTTAGATCTTTCCATCCCGCCGTCACTTTAAAGGGACACTCCAGACCCCCAAAGCACCTCAGGGTGTTGTGTGAAGACTGTGTCCTGTTTTTTTAATTTTTCAAAAAGTGCACGTTTCAACAGAATTTGTAACTTTTTATAAATTAACTTTGTTACATCCCCTGTCTGTCAATCAGACAACTGACTCCGTTACTTCCTGGTTTAACTTGGTAGATCTAAAGTTATAAACTGAAGAGGCAGCAATTCCTCAGAGCACCTGCCTTACCAAGACTTTTCACCAAGCTAAGCGAGAAGACTGTGATTGGACAGCCACAGAAAGCCTGGGCTGGGTTAGAAGGCGAGGGCTTGCAAAGGCTGCTGATAAGAGTTCTGCAGCTTTTGCATGCTGTTTTTAGATTTACTCCAATGCAAAAATGCTACTAATTTGGGCAGTGTAGTGATCCTGCATTTCTGTTCTCCTCTGCATTATACCCAATTATTAGTTGGATGTAATAATTGGATCTGGTTAAGCGTGGTTCCTTGAGAAAAATAAAAGATATTAATCTGATTTGGTCTGATGAATCTGATTTTGGCTCATAATTTCCAGTTGCCCACTAGCCACATGCTAGGAATTGTCAGATGCTGTGCATGTTGTTCGGAGATGTGCAGTTGTAAGTGCTACTTTTTCTGTCCAATGACAATCGTTGTGTTGCAGGACAAGGTTTCTAGTGTAAAGTAACTTTTAGGCCTGGCTAGTAGTAAGGGACTTGAAATTGTGGTCTTTTATGTGATCAACCATACGTTTTCTTTATGGATATGACGATTTAATAATCAATTTTGTTCCTCTTTTAAATGTCCAGGTCTACAGAATGATTTTAAAATAATAAGTAAAGCACAAAGAAGAAACAAAGTCCAAACCATGTATATCCAAATACGGTCCAAAAATAATTTTCCAGAGATATCAAATAGTGATAGAAAATCCAGTCAGTCAAATATCCAGGATAATATTCCACAAATGAAGCGCCCTTTCTTTGGCAGTGTAATTCAGTAGAGGGGCTAGCAGGGTATGAGTGCCTTGAGTGTTGTGCAAGCGCATATAGTAAGGCACTAGTGCTACTCTTCCTGGTCAGTTTCCTGGTGTCCTAAACCTGGAACAGTGGGCAGGACCTTCAAATTGGGAGTAGTAGAGGGGCTAGCAGGGTATGAGTGCCTTGAGTCTTGTGCAAGCGCATATAGTGAGGCACTAGTGCTACTCTTCCTGGTCAGTTTCCTGGTGTCCTAAACCTGGAACAGTGGGCAGGAACTTCCAATTGGGAGTAGTAGAGACTTACTGGATACCATATTCACCAAATAACGCAGGTGCTCTGAAGCCAGGGCTGGCCAGGTCTCCCTTCCAAGATATGCAGAATAAAAACTGATTCAGGCACTCCAGTACAACAAAAATAGCAGCTTTATTTGGGCAAAAGCAGCAATGTTTAAAGACCCGGTAGGGTCGAAACGTTGCTGCTTTTGCCCCAGTAAAGCTGCTATTTATGTTATCCAGGACAGCATGAACCATTATTTTTTCTGCAAATCTTCAAATTGGGAATATTCTGCCAAAATAGGGACAACTGGAAGGCCTGCATTCCATTAGTTACACCGTTAAACCACTATCACAAATATAGCTAACATGTATATTTCCCATCTCTTCCTTTCTATATGGCTTCTTTTCTGACTGTTTAATGCTGCTAATTGTGCTATGAATGTAAGCTGATAACAAATGTGCGTTTTCAAAAAATATTTTTTTATGTGAAAATTCCTATATATGAGGGTTTATTGGTTTTACAATGTAGGTTTAATGCTGGGCTTTTGATTACACAGTTTATACTGTTCTAAGTTATTAAAGGACCACTATAGTGCCAGGAAAACATACTTGTTTTCCTGGCACTATAGTGCCCTGAGGGTGCCCCCACCCTCAGGGTCCCACTCCCGCCGGGCTCTGGGGAGAGGAAAGGGGTTAAACTTACCTTTTTTCCAGCGCCGGGCGGGGAGCTCTCCTCCTCCTCTCCGCCTCCGATCCTCCTCTTCAGCTGAATGCGCATGCAGGAGCTGCGCGCGCATTCAGCCGGTCTCATAGGAAAGCATTCATAATGCTTTCCTATGGACGCTGGCGTCTTCTCACTGTGATTATCACAGTCAGAAGCACGCAAACGCCTCTAGCGGCTGTCAATGAGACAGCCACTAGAGGCTTTAGTTTCTCTGAAACTGCTATGTTTATAAAAAAAATGGGTTAATCCTAGAGGGACCTGGCACCCAGACCACTTCATTAAGCTTAAGTGGTCTGGGTGCCTAGAGTGGTCCTTTAATGAAGGTTGGTGATGGTTGCTAGATACTCATTGCATAACCCATTTAAACTTCAGGGCTGAAAGATTGATTTCTCAAAGGACCGATTTAGCCTGTTGTCCTTATGAGGTCAATAAATTGAGCAGCATTAAATTAGGTAATAGTTATATTAGGAATTTATTAGCTGCTGTTTCATTTAAAGGAACACTGCCACCCCATACCAAGTTAAATTAATTTAAATTCCTCTGTGGGAAGCAGTGCCCACGCACCTTCTTACCAAACATTTTAACCCCAAAGTTGGGCTCAATGCACTTCTACCCTTGCTCTGCAGTTTAAGGAAAGATAAGCCAGGCATCCACTGATAGTTAATAATCACCCATTGAGAGAAACGGTACGTACTTAAAGGACTAGTACATACTTGCATACGTACATACAAAGGTACACAGTATGTACCTTTTTTATAACTGTCTGCTCTAGCCAATCAATAGCGGGCGCCCAGCGGCTTGAAAGTCAATTTCAGAAGCTGGATGTGCTGGGGAAATTAGAAATGCGGAGCTGGATGCAACCTTGGAGGCTAAATCTTTTGAGAACGGTTTTACCATTTCAGGTAGAAAGAGTACGAGGACTTCCTGGCATAATAACAACTTCATTATGATGAAGTTGTAATGGTGCCCAAAGGCTTCTTTTAAGTTGTTATGAGGTTTGGAGTGCTCCTTTAAATCCAAGATTTTGAGTTGCACAAGGAGAAATGCTCTGGATATATTTTGATGGATTTGTGGCGATAAAGGTCTCTCTCTTTATCAAACAAAATGATTTTCCAATCCCACAGTTCCATTTGACCAATTTTCAAGCAATTAAGTAAGCGTGAGTTACATTTGTGGGTCCTTTCTGGGGGCAGTCAGTAGCAGTCTCCGACATTAATTCGCTTTTGAGTGCATTCTAGTCCTTTGTCATACAACATTTATATATTATACATAAGACTAGCAGAAAGTGAAACTCATAAGCTAAAGTAATCTCAAATTTTGTTGACTGAATCATAAATCTTTATGAATTCATAATCAAGTTTACAAAATCATGGCCAAAATGTCAAAGATGTAAAACCAAAAAAGTCTAAAAATATTTTGAGCTCCTCTACTGTGGCCTAATTCTTTTCAACTTGTGTTAACAGTTCCAACACCATTAAAAAAAATATTAAATCCCCTTATATGCACTACTAAAATATTGCAAAGGAAACAAGTGAACCACTTGAATATATTATAAATGAATAAAAATAATATACAAATTATTTACACCAGTTTGAAATTTGAGATATATATATATTTATTCCTCGTATATTAACATGGCTGCTCATAATATATTATATAATATATGTAAGATTAATATCAGATTGCCTGTATTTAAACAATAAAATGTTATATGGATTACCCACTAAAATATGTATTTGCCCTTTGAATGATACAGAATAGGGGTGGAAAATTCCAGTCTTTGAAGGCCACTTACTAATTTTTTTTTATTCACTAATTCTTTACAGAAATATTGGATAAAAAACTTAGTTTTAAAAATTAAATTGTATCTATTTTCATGCAGAGATGGAAGTATTAACAAACAACTAGAATTACCATGTTGCCACATACAGCTGGTGGGATAATAATAGCCAAATATCCTTCTTTGGGGTACTAGTTCAGGAACCTAGAATATTTACTGTATTAAAGGGAAAAAAAAGGGGCTTCTTGCACCCTGTACCAGATATTTCTTGGTACATAATGAAAATTTGATAGAAACATATCAGAACCAAAAATGAATGCATATGAGGTTATAGTATAGTGAGGTGTGCAACCAAATTAAGTATTAAACATATACTGCACTTTGAGATAATCTTGCATAGTATTTTCTTCTTATGATTCCTTGTGCATGCAAACCATTCCATTGCCATGCATATGGATTCATGGGACATTTGGAATTTGAATCAGATGCCAGGCTATGCCTTGCATTCGATACAAAGTCAAATAAAAAGTGTAGATGTTAGTAAATAAGTAAAAATCATACCTAATAAATTAATTTTTAGCAAGATATTACAACGTGTCATTTCTTTCAATGTATCAGTTTCTCTTTAGTTAGATAATATCATCATTGTGAATAGTGGTGGGATGTATGGCCATCCATGAGGTGTTCTACTGCGAAGGATTAAGAAAGTTTAGCTTTGTTTCAGCACCTTTATAAGCTGTGCCAGTTATTTGCTTTGTGCGACAATATGTAAGTTATATCACTGGGACAACTTATGGAAAAAAATAATAAAGAACTGGACATAGATTCTTTGGTTATCACAAAGGCACCCAACCACTTTAGCACCTCAGCCTTGTCCCCTTGCTCCAAATGAAGGATAGAGAGAATGTAGCAGGAAAAGTCCAATACTTACTTGGTTTTCTATTGAAAGAAAACTAAAGGGTTAGAAAAACAAACCTGTATTCCTAACGCTTTCATGTCCCTGACCCTAGTTCTAAAATAAAATCACTGATTCTACTTATATATTTCTGGAACCGATGATCCCTGGGCACTACTTACCTACTGTGTGCTCCATCGTTGATCCAATCCAATGTTCTTCATTGAGAAGCATTGGGGACCTGATGACACAAAGGCATCCAAGCTATCCATAGGAAAGCTGTGATCCAATGCTTTCCTATGGGGACTTCCGAGTTTTTTTCATTCAATGCTGTGGAAGTGCCTCTTGTGGCTGTCTGGAAGATAGGCTTATCGATTCTGTGCTGCAGAAATGCATGATTGGTCACATCGATGACATCAAAGTTGGTAGGATTCTTACCTGCTGTGTAAAAAAAATAAATCTAGAGGTTTATTTAATGCTGCAATATAAACATGTTTTACCTTGCAGGGTTAAAATGATAGGGCCACTGCAGCCTGGTTAATTCATTCTACATAAGGTATGTTAGAAGTATACAGCTTTTCCCATATATGATATTTATGAGAAATGTAACATATTCTTAAAGTGTTGTAACAAAGTTTCATACAAATAAAACAAAATATGAATGAACTACTGACACAAGCAAACTGAACCCACCATTCATTCCACCAGTGAACACCATTGAAGTTGGTTTTAACTCAGCTGATCATATAAAGCGTTCGTGTGATAAGACTTAGTACTCATGGACAAGTCAGAATGAGTTTAACTCAAGTTGTTTGATGTTTACCATTTTAACTTAGCAGCTCAACCTTTTCTCTCAATCCCCAAAATGTCATTGAAGGTCTCTAGGACACTGAATTAGTTTAAGTTAAGCATTTGTAAAGTCCATTTATAATATCAAATGTAAAGACTTGTACTGTGTCCACCTGGGCCAATTGTGATGAGAGTTGGTTTTATCGCGATACCCAGACATGGTCATATCTAGCTCAACCAGACATAGAATTAACTCTGTTGTGCAAGTCTGAACAAAAAGAAATCCAACACAAATTTTTATTTCCATATTCCCGAAACACCACTATGGAATTTGAGCAATCATTCCATTGCTGAAGTTATCACACATAAAGGTTCACTGAGCACATTGCCATGTACTTCATATTTTTACCAATGTACATTCCTTGACCTGGCAGAAATAGCAAATGGTGAGCTTGCAAGCACGGCGCAGCCACAAGCAGGTAATATTAAAGAGAAAGAAGATTATGAGAGGTAGCACAAATCTATACGTTATGCTAATAGTATTACTAGCAATTGTGCTGCTATTTGCAAAAATACACTTGAATGCAATGATCAGTGCCCTCTGTGACATCATCAATGTGACCTCATAGGCTTATCGATTCTGTGCTGCAGAAATGCATGATTGGTCACATCGATGACATCACCGTTGGTAGGATTCTTACATGCTGTGTAAAAAAACTCTCCACTCATTGTCAGTCAACTCTTTTTATTTAAAAAAAATATAAAAACACTTCGTCATATTTATTAAAAATGACTGCATTCATTAGTGGTCAGAGGTACATCAGGATGTATAAGCGTATAACAGAAAGTCTCCATTTCTCAAACTCAGAAACTCCTGTAAATGTTCTACAGTTTAATCAGTTTGTTCCCTTTGTGAAATGTATTTCGGTTTCACCAAAGCAAAGAATGCATATTGTTTGTTTGTTTTTCTATCAATTTTGCTTTCATTGAATAATTATATATTTATGATAAAATTCAGTTGCTGCCTCCTTTTTGAAAAACATGTATATTCATGTTAAATATCATTTTGAATGTATACGTTTGTTTTATAAACTATGCTACGGGCATGAATGCAAAATAATAAAAAGCAAAATGCATCAAGTGTTTATTGAAACAAGATGTCTGCCAATATACAATACACATTAAATGCCGCCTTCCGAACTAAAATACACATTACTGCAGTATGTCATCAATGTGCTTTTATCATGATGTATTTTGCATATTTACCTTCAACTGTACAGTTCACAAAACAGAAACTCAAGCTTTGCTGTACATTGATTTTGGTCTGTGATTCCTCATTTTTTTTGTAGTACAGATGACAATGTGCTACAATATTAAAATATGTTTCACTCTTTGGGCTCTATTACTTTGTATTTGTTGTGTTCTTAAATGCTTTGTGCGTGCACAGTGCCATACCACCCAACATTGCAGACAAACATTGGACGAAGAAGGAAAAAGGTAAGAAAAAAACATTTTGTAGGTTTTTACTCCAAACGGGGTAGGCGGGGGGCTAAAACTAATCATGGACTAGGACACTATAGTGTTAGAAATACAAGTTTGCTCATTGAATTTGAGAGAGGTACAATATAAGGTACGTAATAGATGGTACTGGGTACCAAGTACATTGGCCAAATTAAGTGTCGCTTGATCTAATACAGATATAAATTGTTGGAGATGTGGATCGAACCCAGGAACCTTCTATCATATTTGGCGCAAAACGAGGACCACCTGTATAGAAAGGACGCCAGAAATAGCATTATTACATATTAATCTTAAAGCAATACACAAAAATATTCTTCCAATAGTCCTCCACATCTTTACAGCAACTAAGTTATTGATTGCCAAGAATTGGAGATCTTCTAAACTGCCGAGATGTGACGGACTATATGAACAAATTATATGGCAGTGTAAAATGTGGTTGGGATGTGCAAGAATAGAGAACTGGAATTCCAAGATGGTTAAAAGGTGGGTATATTGGATTAAAAAAAAGATAGATCCCCTAAACGCGCACACTTTGATATAGGAGATTAGACATATTTTTATCCTTGATTTCATTTCTCAGAGCTATTTATGTTTATACATTTGTTTGTTTGTTGTTATCCTAAAAAAGCGGTTATATTCAATTTATGTCATGTCATGTTCGTCATGTCTTTAAAATTTTGAAAAATAAAGATTAAAAAAATAAATAAAAATACAGGTTTATTTCCTAATGCTATAGTGTTCCTCTAATTAATGTTTTAATAAAGATCTTTAGTTGAATAAGTAAAAAGGTTTATTTTAACTACTTTTGAATAAATGTATATTGATCCTCCTTAAGACCAACAAGACAGAAGTAGTCTATTTAGGTCTAATGCGATTAACGACTCTTTTTGCAACAATGGTAACAGGATGACCGGGTATTCTAACATTTCAATATTCCTTGATGAGTCCTTTACGCACATAGACAAACCGATACATTTACAAAGCATATCAGTTTTTCTTGCCCTTACAATCACACAATATTTAGTATCTAGATCTTCTTCACATCTCGATAGGTGCCCAGTAGATTTTTATTTCAAGGGCTTAAGTGGGAAAAAATGGATGGTTATCAAGGTAAGTTGTACAAGGAAAATTTACCAGGGTCATGTGGGTGCCCATGCTTACACACAGCACAGAACCGATCATAAGAAAAAAATGTTTCTTTGTGTAGCAGTCCTTTACATCCAATTGTAAATTATAGGTCAACCCAATAAAGTACATAAAATACAAAAAGTACAAACTCAACAATATCAAACAAAATAAAATTAACATTTAACACAGTATATTGTCATTCTAAAATACAGCACCTGGAGTTTCTCAGTATTACAGGTATGGAGTAGATTACCGTGCGAAGCACAAATATGGATTTATTTGGAATTATGATGGCAGAATTGTCTGACCTAAGCCACGCACACTCGCTTCTATGAGTAGATTATTTTAGTTTTATATAGCTAAACATTCACAGTGTCACATTGTATTCAAGGTCTTTATTTGATGTGACATTAAAACTGTACTTTTATCGATTGCTTCTTTGATAGCAGCACATTAAAATTTTGTTCCTATCTAAGCAAAACAAATGTGAATGTTGTTCTGCTCTAACAAACACAGGCACTGATGATGTCCTGCTGAGTGTCCCCAAGCTAACAAGCATTGATTGTCACCAGCTTGGCATTTATTGCGCTGCAAGAGTTTCATTTTGATAGCAAACTGGCCTAAGTGGGTCCCCTCCATCAGTTCTAGAGAATGACGAGCCAATCATGCAAGTTGCAGCGAGTGACTGTAAGGAACTGGTCTACATGTTTCAAACCATCGGAAGGAGCAGGTAACTGTAAACAGAATTTACTTATTGTCGCATTAAGTAAATAGGGAACAGACTCGGGCAAGATTTATTTATTTTCATAAAACAAAAACTAAGATTTTTTTTTAAATTAGACATTGACAGCTATAAATAAAGACATCTCAAAAGATGTAATCCATCATCAAGATGTTGGCTGCCAGATGTTGGTGAAGATGGGCTTTTCTGGATGTAGTGGGATTTTGTTCTAGTAACCTGCTTGACATTATCATGGAATGCTATACCTTCCACATCAGAACACCCAAAGAACCTCATCCTTCATCTTGGTCCGCTCAAGTCACTGTGAGGCCATCTCTCAATGTACAACTGTATTTTTCTCAGCATATGTTTCTTGGAGTTAAATTTTTTTTGTTATGCTATGGATTGCTCACCTATATAGCATTTGAGCTGTAAAGGCATTTTTGAACAGCTTAATCCGAGGCTTGACAAAGTCCAGATGCCAGAAAGCCATGATAAGTTTCTGCTAGCTCACAGCATTTTAAGGTATTGTACATATTGTACATATTGTACAGAAAACAGTTTGATTCCACTCTCATGGCTCTTAAAGCGGCCATACAAGCACCATTACCAGTACAGTTTATTGCAGTGGTTACATTGCAAACATCTTGCATGTAGTCCCTCTTTTTATGTGAAACCGTTTTTGAGGGCAAATTCCCTCAACCCAAAATCCTTCTCTTCTCTTTAAGTTATTAGAATTTTCCTATTTTTTTTTCAAAAATATTAAGGCGTGTTTAGCAGAATTCAGATGGCCCAGATTAATATAGGCTTGTTAATGTTTTTCAGTTTCTTGATACTGAGATGGTTCTTGATCTATCCATACAAGCATTTTAGGACAAATCAGTAGTTTGATTCAAGAAAAACTGAGTGAAAGTGGTCTTCAAACTAATAGAAGTTGCAGATCGGTTACAAGCAGGTTATGTGCAAGCTTCATTCATGGTTTATCACTAATCAACCAATTTAGAAATATTTAAGAGTGAAACTGCAGTACAAACTCCCCCATGGAGATAGGATTTGCTTTCTCCCTTGAGGCATCCTGCAATGAGTGAGTGGCCTTACAGTAGCTGTGATGTTTGCTACAAGCTGCAACTATAAGGGATATTTTAAAGGGATACAAGAACCTCCTTGTTCCGTATAGTTTAAAAAGTCTTTCTTTCTTGTGGCTAACAAGTTTCCATTCTTAGTAATTCTGATCTTTCCGGTTGTCTGTAGATTTTTTATTAATTGAGATTTTCTGATTTCAAGGAAAAAATTCAGCTACCATAATAGAACAAAATTGGGATTTAGAGGAACACATCAAATGTAAAAGATAAGATGTAACATTTCAGCCCGCAGTAAATTGTATGCTTCTTACAAAGAATTAAGAATTGTACTGGCAACATCTGATAGTTTTCCATATGTATACCAGCAGTAAATTAAAAAAAAACCTACATCCAATTTACTAATCAATTCTTGTTAAACACAAAATAATAAAACCACCCTAACCTACTTGTGGCAGACCGCTTGGCACCCTGACTGGGTGCCTCTGCCAATCGCTGCTTCCTAGTGCTTACCGCACTGTAGTCCTCACTTCCAGCGTTACAGCTTGGTTGGGGTCTCGCTGTCCTCCACCCACCCTGGACCCAAGACCAGGATCCAGCTTCCAGTGGGTAGACCTCTCCTCCAAGAGAGTGTAGGAATATGCTCTTAAAAGAGCAAGTGATTATAATCCCAGGGGAGTATAGAGATATAGCAATCCCCAGAGTGATACAGACGTTCTCCCCCACACATGAGATGAGACTCTATGTTGAGGGTAAGCAGGAACTTGTTTATTGGAGCCACAACTGGCCTTCTATGCAGGTCCCCATGCAAGGGGCACTCCCGCCCGGGACCTGAGAGTAAACCACAGTAGAAACAAATACACTATCACATCGGCTCTCAGATCCAGGACACTCCCATACAAAATAGGTTAATCCCTCCTCTGTACCTGGGAGATAATTGAGTCAAGCACTGTATTAACTCAATTATCTCCAGACACAAAAACACACATTTTTATAACATTAAAAATACCCCCAAAACACATGGAAACCCCAATATAGTCATATCTCCTGATAGCCCCGATCTGGGGGACCAACATCTCTAAAAATCACCCAGGTCGGTTCCGAGGTTCAGGATTTCCATGGAAGTCTTGACCGACCGGACGCATGGTCCCATGGCCAAAACAGTTCCAGAGAATCAGGGCTTGCAGTCAGTCTAGTTCGGTAGTTTACAATATAAAAGAAATACAAATGCAACCAGTTCGTATGTATACTTAGTCCGTGTCTCTTGTTCAGGAGTGTGTATCGCTATCGAGTGTCCGATTATAGTTCCATGCACTCGACAACCAAACACCGCTGTATGTGTTCACAGCTAAAGATGCCTGCTGCCACGTGTTCGCACATACAAACGACGGCCACCCAGCTAACCACTTAGAACGTTGCAGTTAAACATAAGTCAGGGAAGTTAATGGGCTGCACACTCCTCTTCTGGATGGTCCAACTGTTCAGTAACTGAACAGAATAAGTACAATCCGTTCGGCAAGCCCCATATACCGAACCATAACAGGGAAAAGGCACGAACAAAGCCTTTCCAAAGTCCGGAACCAAGGTCTAATCCATGGGCCATAGTCCTGGGGCAAGAGGCTGGCAAGCAAGCCCCTCCAAGAACCAGTGGCGAGGTTACTTTCGCCACACTACTTAACCCCTTTTGATCAAAACGTAAACAAAACCTGGAATCTGCACCATATGTTATTCAACCATAATGCATCTCTTTCGTATTTAGTGCACCCACACTTATTATACATTATTTTATTCAGGAGAAACTGGGCTTTCATTTCATATCACATGCATATTTATATATGAAACATAATTGAAAAAAAATCAATAAATATATATATATATATATATATATATATATATATATATATTACTATCAGAATACAGTTAGATCGAAATTACACACATATATATATTTTAAATTATTTATTATTTTTAAATTTTTAACGTATTTATATATTTTTTATTTTACATTATATATATAGAAACATAGAAACATAGAATGTGACGGCAGATAAGAACCATTCGGCCCATCTAGTCTGCCCAATTTTCTAAATACTTTCATTAGTCCCTAGTCTTATCTTATAGTTAGGATAGCCTTATGCCTATCCCACGCATGCTTAAACTCCTTTACTGTGTTAACCTCTACCACTTCAGCTGGAAGGCTATTCCATGCATCCACTACCCTCTCAGTAAAGTAATACTTCCTGATATTATTTTTAAACCTTTGTCCCTCTAATTTAAGACTATGTCCTCTTGTTGTGGTAGTTTTTCTTCTTTTAAATATAGTCTCCTCCTTTACTGTGTTGATTCCCTTTATATATTTAAATGTTTCTATCATATCCCCCCTGTCTCGTCTTTCCTCCAAGCTATACATGTTAAGATCCTTTAACCTTTCCTGGTAAGTTTTATCCCGCAATCCATGAACCAGTTTAGTAGCCCTTCTCTGAACCCTCTCTAAGGTATCAATATCCTTCTGAAGATACGGTCTCCAGT